TCATGATCTCCATGTTAGAGATAACATGTCATTCAAAATTAAGTTAAAAAATCCATCTAAAAAATAGATTTTTAAGAGGCTCCTCATTCCCTTAAATAATAGAGTGTGGTTTGTATAGAGCCGAAGCTCTAAACAATCAAAGTAGAACCCGCCTTCAAATATTGTCGAAAAATGTGGTTTTAATACTGGAAATTTTTGTGATAGTCTTAAAATATATTTTCATCTTTAATTATAAAATTTAAATGTTAAAAGATAGTGTAGATCAAGCAGATTTATAAAAACTTGAAAATATTAAAAATTGACGGTCAAAAAATACATTACAAGACACTATTTTCCAAAACTTGAAATCCATTTTTTTTCTCATGTACACGCATCTTGATGTCGAGAAACTCAATTTGAGGATATTCGGGCATCAAAACAACCTCTTCTAATGAAATTTTTGAGGTGCAGTCTAATTTGATTGTTTAGAGCCTCAGATCCATATAAACCTTTTCCTAAATAATATTAGTCCAATCCGTACATTTGAGTGTATGTGCATCGTGTGGTAGGGCGAGAGAAGATAGAAGAAATAGAGGCGTGAATTGCGTGGGGTTAGTTAGTGAGGGAGATGTACATGTGGACATTGCTATCGCTTCGTTTAATCTGCGACAACCAGGCTTGGGACCACTAATTTAGAGGGAAAGTTGGGCCTGTGTCCGTAAGGGCTGGGCCCATGAGTCCTACAGCCAGGCTGCCTAACTCAAGAACAAGGTCATGGCCTAAGCTTTTAGTTTTTATTTTTTTAAATAATAAAAATTCAAAAGGTATAAAATGGCTTTCGAGCCCCAAACAAGTTCACCTTTTTCTTTTGTGAAAATTTTAACAATATTTCATTGGAAAAAATGAAAGTGGTAAAAATAAAAAAACTGATAAAAACAGAAGGCCAAAGAAAAGAATGGAAAAATAAAGAAATACAAGTCTGTAATAGCTTTAGCTAGCGCAAGGGAATTTTTTTATTTATTCATATACAAAAAGACAACTTGCCTACCCCCTAAGATAAGAGAGGATCCCAGTCATCAGGCCTACCCATCAAAAAGGAGCGAAATTGGGGTCTAAGCACCATTTAATCATTAAAGAAAGGAAATATATATATATATATATATAAAAAGATTGTAACCTTAAACAATCCAATTAAGGGGCATTTTAAAATTTTATTGTAACATGTAATTTTGTTGTAAAAAATATGTAGTATTATCTTAAAATCTATTTTCATACCTAATTAGAAAATTTTAAATTTTAAAAATAATTAAAATCAAGTAGATCTATAAATATATGAAAATCTTGAAAATAGACGGTCTAGATAATGTGTTGCAAAATGTACTGTTTTCGGGACTCAAAAACTTTTTTTTCATATTTATGTATCTCGATGTCGAGATGATCGATTAGAGAGTTTTTTCAACATTAAAACAACATTTTTCGATAAATTTTTGAGGCGTATATGTGATCCTACATTTTAAGGTTGCAACCTTATATAAAATTTTTCCTATCTCTATATATATATATACCTCAAAAATTCACTAGAAGTTGTTTTGATGTTAAAAACCCTAAGATTCAATCATCTCGACCTTGAGATATATGATGTAAAACAAAGACTTTAAATGTTAAAAAGGTAAATTGTTTGGTGCATCCAAGCCCTCACCTATTATTATGCTGACTTGGAGCCAAAGAAAGTGTAGATGAAAAGAGCGCCGTAACTACGCAAGGTTTTGGGAGGGGTGAGATGGAGATGGTCTTAACCTTTAGTTTTTTATGCATAAAATGACCGCACTCAGGATTCGAACATGCACTCTTGCATTGGCTACTCGAGCGTTTTACCGTTGTGATGGCCCTTAAATAATATTCCTAAAAAAGAAGAGTAAAATCAGCAGTTCAAATATTTTATCCAAAAAAAATTATCATTTTTAGTTTTTTAAGTTTATTTATTTTTACAGTTTAATAATCTACATGTTAATGATTATACATTCCCTAAAAATTAGGAATAAATTCTATTTCAAAAATAAATTATTAAGAGGCCCTCATTTCTACATGTGAGTCCATGGACTCACAAAAACCATGTTCTCTTGGAAATAATACATCTTGTAATGTATTATCTAGACCATTAATTTTCAAGATTTCCAAGTTTATAGATCTACTTGATCTACACTATTTTTGAAACTTTAAATTTTACAAATTTAAAATAAAAATACAGTTTTAGATCATCATAAAGATTTTATATATTGAAACGATATCTTTCTACACTACTTGATCTACACTATTTAAAGGTATGTATTATTTTGATGGTTAAGGGCCACAACCTTATACAAAGAAATCCCTTCAATAATCGAATCAGCAACTATCAAATTTGAAACCCAATTTGTTCGAATTCAATAGGTTGGACTGGCTCGGACAAAGATCCTTTGGGGCTGCCAGCCATCCAAAGTTGGTCTCTGCCAAGCTGGGGCCGGCCGAGCCATCTTCAAGTCCCAGCGAGGCTGGGGCCGCCCCAACTCTAAGTCCCAACGAGGCTGGGGCCGCCCCAAATAAGTCAGGAAATGATAATATATCGACAAACCAAAACATTATTTGCCTGGACGAGTGTCCCCCGCCCCCACACACACAAACACACACACAAAAAAACACATTACGTACATCTCTCTCTAACATCTTGCAAGTTTGCATGATCAGATGAGGCACGTATCTCCATCTCTCTCTCTCTCTCTCTCTACTTTTTAGACTTTGCCAGCTATATAATTCCTTATCAAAACATGGTCCAAAAACAACGTACTATTTTAAAGGTGCTTTTTATTTGGATCGTTTAGGGCCTCAGCCTTTTATTTTTCACGCTCCTTTAAAATAGTCAATTTCGCGGAAATTTCAACAATTTCCCACCGAAATGTGATTTTTCGCGAGAAATCTAGTCCTATACTTGGACGAATTTCGGTTGAATTAGCAATTTAATGAACTGTATTTACTGATATGCTTCGTCTATGTCGAGATTGCGGATACCGAAATTGGAGGAATAATGCGGAAACCGAAACATCAGAGAACCACAGATTGTTCAGGAACTATGTGAGAAACATTGACTCTTCTGCCCCTAGTTTCTTGCGTTGTTTTGGAATCCATTGATTTTCTCTCTCTTCAATTTACAGAGAGGATCCCCATTTTCATGTTTCCAAGTTTAGGAACCCATGTGCAGTTTCTCTCTCTATTTCAATAGAGGGAAAAACTGTGCATTTTCTCCCTGCCAAGTTTGGGGAAAGAAACATGTGCATGTTCTCTCTCTATTTACAGGTAGAGAGAGAAAGCCTACAATTCCCAACCGGATTCTTCCACTGTTGCAGCAGGCGGCAGCAGAGCTGAACTGGGTTCCAGCTCTCAGGCTGTATAACCAGACAAAAACCCATTCAACAATTTCCTCTCTCTCTCTCTCTCACTATTAATTCAATAGAAATATACAAATGCAATAAAGAATTAAATACGAAACAGTAAAATGACAAAAAAATACAGAAGGCAAAGGAGCAGGCCCACTCCTGAAGCTTCTCTCTCCTCCCCCATCATGTGCACTTGCAATTTATCATCCAATCAACAGGTAAAAGATCTCTCCTTTCCTCCTCTTATAAATATAAAGGCTTTCCTTTTATCTGCTAATCCTGCAGATCTGATCTGATTAAATAGTGCCCCTCTCTCTCTCTCTAGAGAAAGATAATAGATTTAGAGAGAGAGAGAGACAAAAGGGAACCTTTCTTGTAGAGAATCATATATGTACAGGAGGTCCTTAATGTGGGACTTGTGTCTTATAGCCATCTGTAATGGCTCAGATGAGAATCACAATGTATATTTCACAAATGGGCTTCTTTTATTTGAGTGGTTCACAAATGGGTTTCTCTCTCTACTTTACAGTTCAAACTTCAACACTGGAACAGAGAAGAAAAAGCAATTGGAACCTGCCCCATCAAATCCTCCTTTGCAAACAGCGGTGCAATGAGACAGGTTTGATCGAAACCCACCCTCTTTCTTTCTTCTTTTGTGGATTTTCTTTCTATTTTGTGGGATATCTTGCTTTCAATAAAATATTTAAGCACAATGATTCTTGTCTCTGTACGGTTTCATTAATTCCACTTTCTTCCCTGTCCACATCTAGGTGGTAAATCCTTAATTACATTATTACAGTTACCAACATCACACATGGGTTGGATAAAGTCAATTCTAGTAGATGGGGTCACAATTTGACCCATCACCAAAACATAAAAAATAAATCAATAAATAAGAGAGAGAGAGAGAGAGAGAGAGAGAGAGAGAGAGAGAGAGAGAGAGAGAGAGAGAGTAGTAGTAGTAGAGTAGAGAGAGAGAGAGAGAGAGAGAGTAGTAGTAGTAGTAGTAGTAGTAGTAGTACGTACGTAGTACGTAGTAGTAGTACGTAGTACGTTAGTACGTAGT